TTAAATGAATTTTAAAATCATATGGTACAACATTGTTTCTTGATTGGATTGCTAATTATATATATGAGCTCATTCAGGACTATACTAACATTTTAATACAATTTAACATCATATGATATGATACCAATCGATTATGGATTGGATCGTTAACTATATGATCTCATAGAGGACTATACTAACATTTCAATAAAATTTAAAATTATATAGTATGAAACCAATTCTTAATTAGATCACTAATTATGCGAGCCTATAGAGGACTGTATTACACTTCAATGAAAATTTAAAATTATATGGTACGATACTGGTTCTTGATTGGATCATTAACTATATGTCCCCATTGAGGACTATACTAATACTTCACTAAAATTTAAAATCATATGGCATGAAACTGATTCTTGATTGGACCGTTAACTATATGAGCACATAGAAGACTATACTAAAACTTTAATGAAATTTAAAATTATATTGTACAATACCGATTTTTGATTAGATCATTAACTTTCTAATCTCATAGAAGACTATACTAATACTTTAATGAATTTTAAAATCATATGGTATAATACTGATTCTTGATTGGATCATTAACTATAAGAGCTCATACAATACTATACTAATACTTTAATAAAATTTAAAATCATATAATAAGATATGATTATGGATTCGATTGTTAACTATATGAGCTTATAAAGGAGTATACTAACACTTCAATGAAATTTAAAATCATATGGTACAATACCGATTCTTGATTAGATCGTTAACTATATAAGTCTATAGAGGACTATACTAACACTTTAATGAAATTTAAAATTATATGATACAATGTTGGCTATTGATTGGATCATTAACTATATGATCTAATAAAGGATTATACTAACACTTCACTGAAATTTAAAATTAGATGGCATGATACCGATTCTTGATTGGATCATTAACTATATAATCTCAAAGAGGACTATACTAACACTTCAATGAATTTGAAAATCTAACAATACGATACCTATTCTTGATTGGATCATTAACTATCTAATCTCATAGAGGACTATACTAATACTTCAATAAATTTTAAAATCATATGGTATAATATTAGTTTTTGATTGGATCGCTAATTATATATATGAGTTCTTAGAGAACTATACTAACTCTTTAATAAAATTTAAAATCATATGATGCGATACTAGTCAATTATGGATTGGATCGTTAACAATATAAGCTCATACAGGACTATACTAATACTTGAATGAAATTTAAAATTATATAGTATGATGCAAGTTCTTGATTGGATCATTAATTATATGAGTCAATAAAATTTAAAATCATATGGTATTATACTGATTCTTGATTGGATCATTAACTATATAAGCCTATAGAGGATTATACTAACACTTTAATTAACTTTAAAATCATGTGGTATGATTGGATCGTTAACTATATAATCCAATAGAAAAATATACTAATACTTCATTGAAATTTAAAATTATATAGTACGATACCGATTCTTGATTGGATTGTTAACTATATGAGCTCATAGAGGACTATACTAATACTTTAATGAAATTTAAAATCATATGATATGATATCGATTCTTGATTAGATCGATGATACTAATTCTTGATTGGATCGCTAATTATATATATATATGTGAGCTCATAAAGGACTATATGGTATAATATCAATTTATGAATGGATCGCTAATTATATGAGATCATAGAGGACTATACTAAAACTTTATGAAAATTTAATTTCCTGGGAGAGGCTACATTTGCATGGTTTTTTATATATAAAAAAAAAGAAATTAAAAAAAAAAAAAAGGAGAAGGAGGATACCATGAAGATTAACAAAGGTGTATCATTTTCATGGTCGGTGATAAAACTTCAAGAAATTTGTGTCGTTCAAACGAAGGGACCAGCTACCAAAGGAAGCATGTGAGAAGAAAAAAAAAAATGTTCTGCGTACAAGTTTATTATTTCCCAACCTTCACACTTGATTTTGGATGATTTTCAGTTATTAAATAGAATTTTATTATGAAAAACAAAAGTTTCCATGGGAGAATTCTTTACAACAATGTGCTGAAGATTATGTTTTACATTTGTTCTTGAAATGTTGTTTATGTTGAAAATTCTATGATTGTCGTAAAACAAACGGTGTTTTAAATTTTAATTTTTAAACGAGTTATATGTTGGGAAATGACTTGAGTAAGAGGATGATTGTAGTTTTGTAACCCTGAGAGCATTTATTGCATATAATATTTTTTGATAGTTTGGAAGGTCCAGAATGATGAAATTTTTAATGGTAATAAAGTTACCTCTACGGTAATCTTCTATAAAATCATTGTGCATTTTAGTGTTATTTTTGTCTCATCTGAGGGGATCGAGTGGGAGCTCTGTTCCATCCGGATGGTGTGGGCTAAATCCAAGGTTGAATGGGTTAAGTGGGGTGGGAGGGATCCTTAGTTTATGCAAGGAAAGGGAAATCTATTTAGGCTAAAATAAAAATAGTTTTTAGTATTATTGTGGAGGCAGATGCCAAAATGATCATTAATATTTTGAACAAGCAAATCAATCTTCCTTAACAAGCTACGAATCTTGTTAATGATATTTTTCATATTTTGATTGATTTTAATTGGTATATATATATATATATATATATATATATAGTGCTAACTATGAATTTTAAGGCAAACACTAGGCTAAATAAGTCCGGTAAATCTAGGTTTCTTCTAGTGAGCTTCCGGCGAACTTCCGATGATCTCTCGGTAATGTTCCAACAGATTCCTGACAAGCTTTTAGACTTCACAACGATTTTCTTGGCGAGTTCCGATGAGCATCTTTGGTAAGCTCCTAGACTTCTCAGTCAATTCCGACGGAACTTCCGATGAACATTCGGACTTCCGACGAACTCTCGAACTCCCAACGAAGTCTCATTCTTGACTCCGGAATTTCATTTTGCTTTATGCCTTGATTGTTATTATAATTAATTCTATATATTTAAAACCTACTTCGATCTAGACAATCATTATGAAGCTTGAATCAAATGTTGTCCGACATGTCATTGGTTCATTGACGCTTCGTCCGATTCTTCGGCACATCGGCCTCTCTTGCGGCTTATTATCCAATCGGCCAGTTGACCTCCACAACTCCAATTTTCTTAGTACAATTTTCTCTCTTCTTGGCCCGATGCTCGAACCCATGGCCCAAAGCCTTCTGCCGAAACGTCGACCGATCCTTCGACTCGACATCCAATCTTTTGATATGTTCTACTTCGGCCCAACATGATTCTTCCTGCTTTTAATTATCTTTCCTTGATCGAAGCTTCCTACGTCACTCAAAACACAAATCAAATTATAAACACTATCAATTGATTCCATCATCAAAATCCGAGAGAATTTCCTTGATTTTTTGTGCTGGTATCATCAGCAGCACAAGATGTAACCGTTTTTTGAGTTAATAGAGCTTTTAAAAAAAATAGAAGTCCTTAAATCAGTGAGTTTAACTTAAGTTAGAATCGGTCTTTAAAAAAAAACTAATTTTATTTTATCATATTACACTACATAATCGTGTGCTAATCACCATTTTGTAACCACACATTTACTTATCATATTACACTACATAACCATGAGAAAATGACTTTACTTATCAAGTTTGATACTTCATTACCATATAATCTATTTCGGGAATATAAATCGAACATTAGAAGGATTACCATATAATCTATTTAGGGAATGTAAATCGAACAATAGAAGGATTGGGAATCTCACAACGTCGATCAATGTTCGCTCGGGTAACTTCAAACATCTCGGATGAAATAATAACTCTCGACACGGGTCAAGTCTGATTCAAATTGATCGTGTTAAATTATGTAACTCTTTTAAGATATATTATTGATATGATTATATTTTGATTATGATTATCGATTAGTAGAAAGTAAATCTAATTATGATATGATTCTTTAGAAAATGATCTTGATAAAAGAAACTCTCCTAATTATTTATCGTAAACATTTTATTCTTATCTATAAATCTATCGTTGATAGTCGTTCTATTAAAAATATAAGAGAGAAGAATATGAGTCTTGTATATTTATAAATCAAATAAAAATTTTATGAAGAGCATAAATTTAGATATATTATTATTTGATTTCAAATTGATATTAAAATTTTTCATATAATAATATATTATAATTTTTATACTTTCGTATCGATCTTATTATTAATCGATGAAGACTTTTTTAAAAAAATACAAACTATATATATTACTTAATCAAAGTCAAAGGAGTACAAAATTAGAGGGGGTTCACGATAAAAGAATTTAGGAAAGAGGCCGGTAACGTCTTAAAGTAATAGCAAACCAGAGTAGGCGCCGTGTTGTCCCTAATCGTTATCCTCTGCACAAAACAGCAGCAAGTCAATCCATTGCGATAACATCTGAATCAAATTCTATCGTGAGGCTTTGGAGGACCACACTACCTTCGATGGGTCGGCAATAAAGATCCAGGAGAGCAGTTGCTTGCAATCCAGTGAAAATATGGACGTACTCTGGTATTGTGTACTGCAATGACATGATCCTCTGCGGTCTAGTGTTGTCCTGTTATAGGTAGGCCCAGAGTTGTCCCTTTTGTAGTACACAGCTTGTGCTGCTTCGGTCAGTGACCTGGGCAAGTTCTTCAAGAACCAGGGGTGGTTCCTCATCTTCCTAATCGTTATCCTCTGAACAAAACAGCAGCAAGTCAATCCATTGCGGTAACATCTGAATCAGATTCTACCGTGACCAAACTACCTTTGATTGGTTGACAATAAAGATCCCGGAGAGCAGTTGCAGCAAAAATATTCAATGTTTGGTTCATATCACTGTAGCAGACCAGAAGGTGCAGTGTGTGGTTGGCATTATGCATCCTTTAGACTTGGATAGCAACGTGACCGTAAGAGCCGCAAAGGAAGTCAGAAACAAGGTCCCACTCTCGAAGTGTTAGCTATGACTTAGTCTTGTCATTTAAGACTCCTGCACGTCATACATTCAATCAATCAACTATATATTTCAATGATCCTTCATTTGTAATCCTGATGCCAACCAAACATTTGGAAGGCATTGCACGTAAAGTGCAAGACATTTGGCAACGGCCAAAAATTGTCAACACCCACCCACTTTTATATGTTTTACATACTTTAAATCCAACCACAACACAAGGCAAACCCTACAACTAATCACCAAAAGCATACTCCCACTTATAGATATCCCTCTGTCAATGAGACTATAACTGAGGTGCTTTATTGAACAATAGCTATAATGCTTATATGTAAGAACGCATTCGAGGCCTCACAATGGACTGAGCTCCATCGACGAAGATAGTAGTGCCAGTCATGTAGCGGGAGTCATCGCCCACCAGGTATATCACAGTGGAAGCAAGATCATTCTTCGGATCAAGCCACCTCATCAGTGGCATTATATCTGCCGTGGACTTCTCGGCCCTCTCCTTCCCCACTGATCGAGGATACTCATCATCTAAATGCAACCCACGAGCAACTGCATTGACTCGTATTTTGTACTTACCAATCTCCATGGCTGACAGCTGCAAATGGTAAAGTAGTTTCAGCAAAATGGACAAGGAGCACACATTTCATAGGCATATACAATAAAAGGTTCTTGAGATTAATGACGAGCTGAGAGAAGAAAGAAATTGCCATAAATCATATTCAATTGTGAAATTGACATTAAAAAGAACTCGCATGTAGAATGTTGGGTCCCTAGAAATTTTACTTAGCCTAGTAGCCTTGGAAATAATCTATTGGTTAAAGCAACTCCAGGCACCGAAACTAGGAACCAAAATATATGCCTTGCACCAAAATTTTCCCTCTCATGAGACTCATGACACTACAAGGGACATATTTCCAACTAAACTACTAGGCAGCATTGGAACACCATCGGCAGAGAAACTTCTTTAACCACAATGGAGAGAAGATGATAAACCCTTGGAGAAGTTAGTAAAGGTTCCTTCTATGAATGTAGTTGTGTGCTAAGCATATTGAATCTCAATCATCTGAATCCTAATTGCTTAACAATAATGAAATCATGAAAGCCAAGAAATCACATAAAGCAGAAGCTTCAGCTAAGATGTACTTACTCGAACTAATTGTTGTACCGCAGCCAAACTTGATCCGTAGGCAGCAGCACCAGTATACAAGCCTCTTTCTGCCCCTAATATCTGGGATATGAATACTATAGAACCACCCGTTTTAAAATCCCGCATTCTTTTCGCAACTGCTTTTAGCAAAAACCAAGGTGCCATGAAATTAGCTTTCACTGTCTTTTTATACTCACTTTCAGTCACATTAAGACATTCTTGCATCTTCCCTGTACAAAAAATTCAGTACTTATAAAGTTTAATAAACCAGGAACTAAGACCATAAACCATGCTACATCTTATACATATATCAAGCAGCCAAACCAAATATGTTGCATTACAAATGAGAAATACAAATCAAATGCCATACAACCTATGATGTAAATTTACAAAGACTTGCTATGTGACTCCATCAAGAACACTTTATACAAAAAACACAATGGAAATATCTTAGTGCTGGATTAAACTTAATAATGTATCACTGTGAGGAATATTAATTGCACAAAACATGGTGCGGTCTACAAACAAGACCAGAATGGCAAGCTTGGTGTGCAGATCCAGACTCTGGAAGGGACATAATGGTCTGAGCGAGGCCTTAAGTTTAGGTTGACAAAAACTTGAGTCAAAGTATGATCATGTTTTTTTTTCCACTTATTTGATATCTCAGGTGCATATTGTTCAGTGAAACTAGACTCACAAACTTGAACTGCAACAGACCAAAAGCCAATCTGGCTTCCAGCATCAAAGCCAGATAGAAATATCTGGCCTAGACTGCAATCACTAGAATGTGACAAACTTTATTTTACGATAAACTTCACTTATGGTTACATCTTATTCTCCTTTTTGACATATGTTTACAGTAACTCCTCAAAGGCTGCAAATTTTTTTCTTGAGCCTGATGGGCTTGAAATCAGTAAACAGAATCAGTTATGCATTCATCACAAAGTGTACCTAGTACATGATTTTCAGATAAAAGCTATTTATGTATTTATAATGATAAAAAATCAGAGCAAACCTTGGAACGCTCCTTTGTGACCTGGGAGATCAGGGTACAAGTCACAGAAACAACCTCTCTATATTTAGAGGCAAGGCTGCATACATTGACCCTCCCCTTCACTGATCCCATATTGGCGTTACACCCCCTTTTTATATTGATAAAAATTAAAAAAATACCTAACAAAGTCTAAGCATGCTTCAATCAATGGCCCAGTAGGCTTTTTTTTCCTTCTAACTACCACAATAGTACAACATCTGAAAACAAGAATAATAATTCATAACATGTGAGACAATATTATTTTTCTGACCATTTGACATGGCATTTGTATAAATATGATGAAAAATCTGAGCTTATAATTAAGAATTACATGGTGGCAAAAAACTCGTGTAGCTAACCTTAACTAGTTGGGAATTTCAGCTTTGTTGTTGTTGTTATTGTTGTTGTAATATATCTAGATTGTAAGGCAAAAAACCTAAGAATTATGTTTATCAAATTAAGATTGATAAACTTATTTTCTTTTTACTATATATTTTCTATGAGATTGACCGAAGCCTCCATGCTTAAGGCCAAAAATACTTGAACTATCAAAGCTATTCAGATGAATATCCACAAGCCAAAAAAAGAACTGAAACTAAAATGAGCTTTAAAACCAATGTTCTATCCTGTGTCTTTTGAGTTGAAGTTGCTTCCAAAATAAAAGCTTGTTGTTTCCATATATAATCAGCTTGATGCAACCATGGCTCCAAAATCTAATTTGGTTAGATCTAGTTTAGGGATCAAGTCGAGCTATTTTACATTTTTTCTTGTTCTTGATGCAAAACAAGTATTTTTATTCATACTTTTGTTATATATAAGGAAGGATGTTTTGATGAGATTAGTCTCTTTTGTAAGTTTAAACTACTTCTGTAACCCTAAAGGGTATCCATGTGCATTGTACATAGAGGTCACTCAATTTACAATGAATTTTTTATACAATAAGATTTGATAGGATTTTATCAGATAAAGATTTCTTTTTTTTCTTTTTGTTTGCTAAAGGCTTAAGTAATCTATAGTATAAATAAGGGTTACATCCTGAGGCTTGTAGCATGAAGTGTTAAAATTTTTTAAAATAATGAAAACATTAAGCCTTAAGGCCTTATGGCCTTGATTATTGCTTTTCTCCTGCTGGAGTGTTTCATCCTACTTTTAAACTGTCTCTTCACTACCATGGTTTTCTACTTCCTATAATCAACTCCCTCTATCATATTTATGTTATGTGTTTGCACCACTCCGATGGGGTAGAATAGGTTTTTAGAATTTCTGAGATGATTGAATTCCTAAAAAGAGATGGTCAATTCATCTTCTTCTATGATCAATATGAATCTAGATAATTTTTGAAGATTTTCCCTACAATTGCATGTGATTAAACTACATAACTATGTGTCTCAAACAAGATTTAAGCTAAGTATGTTAAACTACAGAACTTACTCGATCATTTTAGGGCTTCCATATACTTGTTAAAAACTTTTTTTAACTTTTGAATGTGTTTTAGGCCATCTTCCCATGTTAGCATACCTTCCTCCACACAAACTGAATATTGATGATGCTTGCCAGGAACTCTTGCTAAAGAAAATTCTAATGCTCGCTTTCTTTGTTGTAGATCAATAGGAAAGTAGTCAATCTATATCATTCTTTCTAGAGTTGTCTTCTTACTATGCACTTTTTGCATCCATGTCTCACCTCACAGGTGATCGCACCCGTCCTGTGCCATGTCCTCTCATACATTCATCCATGACCGAGAGCCTCACAAGTGTAGTAGTCTAAACAATGCAAAAAGAAGCTTGGACACTGTCTAACTGAAGTAAAGAATCATTCTGATACATGGAAATAGGCCGAACAACCCTTTTCTCCCTAACAACAAACAAATAAATTGAATATGTTTTTATAGGGTTCAGATATTAGAATATTTTTAATAGGAACTGAGAAGTTTAGATATTAAAATACTTTATATAGGAACCCAGAAGGCATAGGAATACGAGTAATATTATAAGTTTCTCATCCTTGCAACTTTCTGTAAAAATATTATTTTGATCTTCATAGATGATTCCTGTGCAAGATTCTACTTCCTCTTGAATCGGTGTAGTACTTGTTAGCTGGTGTCATTATCAACCCTAGTTTTAGAGCAAGGATGCATACAATAACAACCCCACTTGAGAACTTGAGCCTATGCATTCCCATGTTTCTACATTAGTGACCCAGGTTGCATCTTACCTCATGCATAATCACACCCACCTTATGTTGTGCCCTACCATAAGTTCATCCACAATGAAGACTCCTACGTACCAGGGAATCCTGAGCAAGGCAAAAAAAGGCTCAAACATTGTTCAAGTAGGATAAGGAATCAGATGACACCTACTGACTCACAGAAATAGTTTGATCAGGCTCTCTATCATCGACCAAATCGACAGTGTTAGAATATTATTTGTTTATGAGACTTGATATGTCGCGGTAGTCGAATATCAAAAACAGAGAGCTTATAAGCCTCGATAATAGGTTTAATCTCTTTGGTCTTTTTCCAGAAATTCAGTAATAGCACTGATGAGTTCTTCATGGATTAATCCAATGCAGACTTCTACTTGTCGGTGAACCATAGAAGTATATTTTGGGTGCTGTTATTGTTTTATTTTAAAGTAGCACTAAGATCAATTTAGAAAAAACTCCGAGGTCAGCTTAACAATAACTATTTTTTGAGTTTTGATACTTAAAACTAGAACATTAAGAAAAATAAAGTGTTCGTTTCTCATTCTGTATAAATTCTAGAATCAGCATCACAATTACAGCTATAAATGTGCTCTATAAATATAATTTCTCTGAGAATGCAAGCTTTTCCCTAGCTTAGTTTTCCTAATTATTTATCTTCTTCATGAGATGCTACATATTCTTATCTATGTTAAATGACTTTAAATTACACATGGATAGTTTCATGATAACTAGAATGCTTCCAGCATCTTTCCGTAATTCAAAAACACTATATAACCTCATACCAATAAGAATTAATGAATGTGATTTTTATGGACCCAAAGCAGCACTTTTGTTAAGATACCTTCATAAGAATAACAACTGACAAAAGCATCAAGTGACCCCAAAAGCTTCCAGGCCAATTCCACTGCCTCATCAAAGAAAGACTCATGCTCTTCTTCCATATTCAAATCAACCACTTTGAAAGGAGAGGAACCACCTAAAGAGCTCATAATATCCCCCACCATTTTCTGAAGACGATCCTCATCGCCCATTAAAACCAGCCTAGTTATGATGTTACAAAAATTAGAGTCAGAAGAACAATTTTTAAAGAGCAAAATTACAAAGGCATACACTGGACTTAGGAATAGCATCAAGATACAATCCAATCTATGAATATAAAATTATTTCATTCATTTATCAACATAGCTAGTGGAGACATCAAATTGAGAATGTGACCTTTAGGCATAGTGAAGCACAGTAACACCACCATAATAATAAAGAGATATCAATGTCCAATTAAGATATTAAATCGAATGAACATTCAAAAGTTAATAGTGATAGAAACACCAAACTGCAAAGAATAACTTCCAAGATAAAAATAAGTTAACCAATAATGTCAGATCTACTGAAAACGCCAACTGATGCAAGTCAATAGACCCATACGCTGATATTCCAAAAAACATTAAAACTGGTCCGTTACTGTAATCAACTAATGACTGATTTGTCCAAATTTAGGTCTTCCCGGGAAGCAAGTAATCTTGCGAATTTGATCCCTTGTCAGGAGTATTTGATCAAACTATTGCAAAAAGAAGTTGCTCAGGTTCCTATTGCTGGAAGCTTTACATAAACGCAGACTTGAAGGATGTTTTAAGAGAAACTAAAATCACAATTTATTACGAGAATTACAGATAGCAGTTTTCGTTTGATGGATGGTAAAGCTTGCGTTACCCACATCTGCAGTCTGCACTTGCCTTTCTTCGACGATCTTAACTCACAGTGTCATTTCCTGCATAAAATTTCTTATTGCTCTCCTCAGATGCAACCTATCCAACTCCATTCTATTTAGCATCGTATTAAAACTAGTTAAGAAAATTCAATTTCTTGGGCAACCACATATAAATAAACAGATAAATAGATCAGCGCTCCAAACATAAGGTTCATTACATTGAAGATCGACCAAAAAATAATAGCAAACAACGAATCGATCAGACAATTCAAGGGTGGAGAATTGGAGAGTCACCAAACCTGCAGCCAGATTTCGCCAGGTGGTAGGCGATGCCTTTGGAGATCTCATCTCCACCGGAGGTCAACAAAACCCTCTTCCCCGACTCCTCCATCCTTGGCACCGATCAGGAATCACAAGACAACCCAATAAATAAACGATCGTTCAACGAACACAAAGAATCAAGGAAAAGAAAGTAGCGATTAGAGGAAAGAGGAGATCTAAGAGAGGTAAGCCACCAGTGACACCAAAGAGCCGAGCGCAGGAACGGTGGTGGGTTTTGGACAGCTGTGTACCGGATAAATGTATCGTCGTTATATTAGGAAAGAGACAAAATTACAAGTATATTCTTCGACACTAACTAATTTACGTCTTTACCCCTCAGCGTTTAAGCAAAGCAAAACTCACTGATCTAATTAAGTTAAATGTTACCGATGAACAATGAAAAGAGTGCATCATGATCAAGATTTTGATGACCCTTTTGGTCATTTTGTCTTGACAGATTAGAAATCACACGCGTCTGAATTGGTGTGCGTATAAAGTACCTCTATTATATTCGATGTGTCATATCAGTGGTCAGAAATGATACTGTATCATTTGGATGTCATCTAAGTAGGCCGTCTTATTAAATTAGCGATTACAATAACCATATTATATGAAGTGATTTTTTCTAATTAACGGGGCAATTAAAAATCATATTATTAGAAGAAAAAAAAAATGAGGCACATGAGAGGAGTTTCTTATACTTATAGAATTGGCAAGCGTATACGTCATGATATTTATATTTATAGTGATGGAGGAGAAGAAGATTGACACTTCTAAGTTATTGTCCCAGAAAGAGAATTGTTGAGACTCTTGATCTTTGACTGCAAGGCACATCATTTGTTTCATTCAGCCAATTGAAAGCCTCCAAAACATCACATTAACCCACAAGACCTGCAAGCCATCTTTTTTTTTGTTTTTCTTGGCTCTTTTCAAAGCTTCCAAGATTGCAATGTACTCTACTCGTTTAATGAAACGATGACGTTTACAAACTAAATTTTAGGGAAAAAAAATAAAGAAGTAATTTATTGTGATTTATGGAATTAGTTTATTTTGATGGACGGGGAATTCACACACATGAAAAGTCATATGCACGAAAGAATGATTTCCGTTGGCTTAATCGGTTCGGCTTGATTTTGAGCCCGGCCGACGTCGGGTTCGGACCGCGATTGAAACGTGGACCGGATCGATCACAATCAAATCGGAGCATGATCTCCCTTGGTTTAGGGTTTCGTTTCCCCTATCTATAAGAGTCATCTCTCTGCCGCGCCGGCCGAGAGAAGCGTGCGCTAAACGGAGTGGGGTGCAGTGGAGAGCCGAACGCCATGGTAATTTCCTCCCATTTCCTCTCTTGGTTTTTCTCTAAACATTGTTGATCGGATCTCTTTCGATGTTCCATTTTCGTCATCAGGTGAAGTATTCGAGAGAGCCCACCAACCCGACCAAGTGTGAGTTTCTCTGCACTTTTCCCTGCTCTGTTTTCGATTTGATCTCGTGAACTTGCAGTCTAGGGTTTATATTTGGTTCGATCTCGATTTTGGTAGCATTTTGTATATGGTTCTACATTAGTGCTCCGATTGTGGGGTTTAGAATTTTCAGATCTACGAATTGTGGTCATTAGCTTCTCCTGTAGCAAATTTTTAACTTTTTTTTTCATCGGAATATGTCAACGAAATGATCAGTGCATGGTTTTGCAGACGCGATTAACTTTTATGAGCTTATAGTAACCCATAAAATTATCTCTTTTGCAGCCTCCAAGGCCATGGGCCGGGACTTGAGGGTTCACTTCAAGGTGCGTTAGATGTTTATTTTAGTGCAGAACTTAGTGGTTAGTTCTAGTGCTGTTGTTGGTTTGTCTTGTTTATTGTGCATAACCTATATGAATTTAGGAGGTTTACTAGATGTGTCTTCTTATACACATTAGACGATGACTCTTAGATAATGTTAGCTGGCTTCACAATAAATCATGAAGAGAATGAGAATCGAGAAAATTATAGACATGGAAGGTATTGTTTTATTTATTATCAAATTCTTTTGGTAAAATATTTCTGATCTCGAAGCTTGAGTTAGAAATCATATTGATACGAATGTGATCAAGGTACTAAATATTGCTACCATTGGACTGGTATAAATCTGGTACACACTGACAAATCGACACATGGTATCCCCATCTACCAGTCCGCACAGACCCCAGAGAGAGAGAGAGAGAGAGGAGTAGGATGAGAAAGATGAGCAGTAAGTGGCATTGGCAACACGATGGGCTGTGGCAGTGCTGCGAGAGGTGTGGCGAGAGAGATAAACCAAAAAGGCAGTTATCAGTGTCAGGAAAAATGATAGGTAAATATACTGCCTGAAACCTGTGTTTTACCTTTAAAATCAGGCGGTAAGCCTGGTTTTTGACCTGAACTGAATGGTAAGCCTTGGTTTGAAGCAGATCGGACAGTAGAGATGGTCTGTGTGCTGGTTAGGGGTCAGACTGATAAATATCAGGCAGTATTTATCTGTCCCAAACTATGAATGAGATATTGTCGTTCGGAGGGCTTGTTGTGAACGTTACATTATTCATAATGAGTCCAGATATGTGGAAATAGAGAACTCAGGTCAAAAGCAGCTGATAGCTGCTTTGGAAATTGATCGTCAATGGTAAGATTGTGAGAAAGAATACTTTTAATTCATGAAGAATATGAGAATAAACGAGAGAGAAATTGGGAAGAACAGGGAAGATTGAGCTACCATTTTAGGTTGATATATATTTTAATTCATGAAGTATGATTGTTAAGAGAAAGTTGTTGATGTATATTTTATTTTTCCATAATCATTACGAAAATTGATCTACCATTTCAATTTGGCTTGTTCAACCTGGAACTAATAGCAGTTGTTTAAAAATATTTATGGCCAACTATAATAGTGGTGAAATAATGTACTTTAGCAATTGTTTAAAAATTTACTATGTTGTTACATATTCATGATAAGTCAAGAGTTTAAATGCAGACATACTGTTAAGAATTTTACATGTTCAGCAGTCTTACAATAGGCGATAAACATGCCCTGTAATTATTTTGAACACTAGTATAAGTAATGTAGTGTTTGAGAGAGGCACCTTCTATTTGTGTAAAACGGGTTCTAGTTTGAGATGCATTTGATAGATATTGATGTCCTATACAGATATATCTGGACACAACAATTATTTCTAAGTCTCACATGTTTTAATAATCCATGGTATATCGATCAGGTTTTCTTTTAAGAAAGATTTATAACTTACATATTTGTTGGACAATTTTGTTAAAAAGCAAAGAGTTCAGTAATGATTATATCAGCCCGTTTTTGTTATACGTTATGCAATTTATATTTTAATTGAAATGTTGTATAATTGCAACAGAATACTCGCGAGACAGCTCATGCAATTAGAAAGCTACCTTTAGCGAAGGCTAAAAGGTACCTTGAAGATGTAATTGCTCATAAGCAAGCCATTCCATTCCGAAGGTTTTGTGGGGGCGTAGGACGTACAGCTCAAGTGAAGGGTCGTCATCCAAATGGGCAAGGACGCTGGCCTCTGAAATCAGCCAGATTCATTTTGGATTTGCTCAAGAATGCTGAGAGTAATGCAGAGGTATGAATCTATCATGTGTTTTTTCCTTTTAAATTAAGTGTTATACTTGTCTTAAAATGGTTTCGGTTATATTCTTATTTTCAGGTGAAAGGTTTGGATGTTGATGCTCTCTACATCTCACACATCCAGGTGAACCAAGCTCAGAGGCAGCGGCGTAGGACTTACCGTGCTCATGGACGAATTAACCGTGAGTACAGTAATTGAACCAAATTAATGTTAGTTTCTCGAAACTGACTCATCATTTTTTTGGCAGCGTATATGTCCTCTCCATGTCATATTGAATTGATTTTATCGGAGAAGGAAGAGCCAGTCAAGAAAGAGGTTATTCTTTTATCATTTCCCTATTTACATGTCCCTCTGTATTCTTGGATTGCTGCATGTCAAAAGCTGTCTTCATCATTTGGTAGCCTAGATGAATCTATTTAACTCTTAGTTAAAAAATTTCATATTGCCTGATCAATATCCACGATAGCTGATTTGTGAGGTGGAGGTCTTCTAATAACATATACCGAAGTTCAGGTTGTTTGTGCAACCTGTGCTTCTTTTGTCTAGATTATTGGCATCCTTTTCATTGCATCAGACATTATTATTCTTCATGACAGATAACAAGCCCCTAGGACCTATGAATTTGTACTTACTCTTCATTGCTGTTTAACACAATCAGAATGCTTGCAGATATATTCTGGCTGGGATTTTCTACATTGATCTATCCATGATAATATAATTTAAAGCCATAAATCAGGAAATTTTGATTACAAATGTGGTTTTTAGTTAGATTATGCATAAGAATGTTTTCTTTTGGAAATGGTTTGTGTGGCTTATTTTCCTTTCTACCTCATTCCTAATCATACTCTGCTCATGTCTTACAGCCGGAGACCCAGATTGCACCAAGCAAGCCCAAGAAATCTCAAGCTATTCGAAGTGGTGCGTCTTCTTAAAGATCAGTGGTTACAGCTTTGAGGAAAGCATTGATCTTGGGCTGATTTGAAATAGATGCAGGCTATCTTATTTTTGGTAACAAAAGATATTCTGGAGATTACTAGTGCTTCTGGAACATTATCTTTTTCTACCTTTGTTTTTGATTGGGAAATTTGTGGGATTCCATAGCTACTTTGAAATGGAAGCAATGTGACACCTTAATCGTTGAGTATTTGATCTGTTTTCCCCTAGAGCACAGACATTTGCTTTGAAATCATCATCTTGGATCGTGGATTAAGATCTATCAGTATAATCTCCTTGAGGAATTATTTTATCTTGTTGAAATGGAAATACTGAACAGTAGTGCTGGTTATCAGAACTGATGCTATCCTGTTCATGTCTTCTCGGATCTCAACTGTGGATCCAATAATTGTGTAGTTGTTCTTCTCATGTGCCACAATGGCGAAAACTTGACACACCGTAGTGTAGGATCAGTGTTTTGAACAAAATATTTCATGCCACAGTTCTACAAAGATGTCATGCAAATTGCACAAAACATTCGGTAGAATATTGGCTTTTGTGGATAGATAAATTATCAAGTTGAGCTGCTTTACTTGATCATATTAAGTTTCAATAAACTGCAGAAAGATTTGTTTATTAATTCCAAAACATTGTTAAATTCTGCTTTCTGTGTTTTGTTTATATGAATTTTCAAA